GAGGTTTTTTGACACACATATTTTATTGACTTGGTAGAGTCTGAATGGTATAAAGTAAAATAAAAATTTTGGTTTCTTATGAATGTCTTAGGACTTTAGGRTCTCTTAGCAATCCATCTTAGGCGGTTTCAATGTTGTTATACTCAGTGATCTACGGTTGTTCGATGCCAGAACGATGCTGGCTGGTGCTCGGGTGTTGCCCTGTAACCTGTTGATGCAGGAGCGTGAGGCCTGGTAGAGAGATCTGGGGATGCTTTGGGGTGGGCATCCCGAGGGACGACCAAGGGTTGCTGCTGGTATGACGCTGGTCGGAGCTTGGGCGAGTAGTGTTGCCCTGTAACCCAACAGGGTGGGGGCATGAGGCCTGGAAGAGCTCAACAGGGAGTAAGGCAATGTTGGGAAGTCTTAGAAGGGTTTGTTAGGGAACCTGAGGGTTGTGAGCATTCGTAGGACCTCAATGGCAGGTTATTGCATGAGTAGTTCCCTAATAGGTCATTAGATACTCATGATCCTCCCCAGAATCACATCATATTCACAGATTGTTCTCAGCCGAAGCCGGGTAATAACCCCGATATCTCAAATGATCTCAAACAATCTCAAATATTCTCAATGATCTGTACAATTCGATATGGGACGCTGGTCCCAGTTCCCAGCACATGCTGCTCCCCACGAATAGACTGGAGCACTTGTTTAAAAAAAAAAAAAAAGGGAAAAAAAAAGGTAAAGTGTCAAAAATGGGAAATGAGACCATTTGGCGTGACATTTATTTTGCGGTCTAAACGTTTTTTTTTTTTTTTTCAACATTTTTCGTGGAAAGATTAAGACCAAACCTGCATACCCTTAAATTTTCAACAAATTTGAGTTTTTCTTCTCAGCGCTAAAAATCGCGGAAGTTGGGGTACTTTCTTCGTTGGCCCACACGTCGTAGGGCGGTGAAAAACAAAAACACAATGAATCGGCACGGCGTTTATTTCACGTTTTTTTTTTTTTTTCCTAATATTTTTTTCTAGAAAGAGCGGAATCTTATCTACAGGATCTGAAAATTTCAATTTTTTTTATTAATTACTCTGAGCACGAAAAATCGCCAAAGTTGGCATTTGAAAATTGTTGGACTGGACCCGCCTGCCACACTGTGCAACGTTAGAGTTCGAACACACAGACACATTCTGACGTGCCAGCAGCCTGACGTCGGATACACTTCAAAAGAAAGCAGTCCCTGACAGCAAACAGGGACCCAGTCCACATGAGCGGTTATCTCATCGGGCAATTGGGTATTTCAAAATATGTGCATGGGTTCAAACCCCAACCCAACCACAACCACTATGCGCAAGCTTCAAATACTAATGCTAACATATATTAGTGTGTGTGTCTGTATGTGTATGGGGGTGGGCGGGCAGGCCCTCCGACTTTTTTTTTTTCATTCCGCCGCCTGCGCAAAAACGGCCAAAACGAAAAAGAAGCCACCGAAAACGTCGAAAACCAAAAAGAAGCCGTCGAAAACGCCAAAACGAAAAAGAGGAGCCCAAAGGGGCGAAAAATAATCAGAGAGACGAAAAAAAGAAAGAAGAGAAAAAAAAGAAAACAGAAAGAATAAAAAAAAAGGGAGGGCCGCAAAACGACGCTTCCTTGCTATTTACCTCAAGGTAGAAGGGAATGGGGAGGTTCTCTCTCTCGTTGGGGCTGATAGGAACTTCATGCTGATAGCGGGGTTCAGCTCAGCGGAGGCAGTGAGAGGAGAAGAGGAAACGAGGGGAGAGGAGGAGAATACATGGAAGAAGGGGAGGGGTGAAGAGAAATAATCATCAACATCGTCATCATTATCCATCATCTTTGTGATCATCTCAGGGTACTCGTCAAATTTCATCATCAGAAAGTTTTGCCGATCAGGATTCTGAGATTATCAGATCCTTGATTTCTGGTTGGCATTCTAGATTAGCTAATTTCCTAATTGAGTCTTCTTGTGTAATGGCCAGGTTGAGTTGGCGCCAGAA